GATGCTGGCATGTCTGTCCCTCTTGTATAATAGGACTAACAAGAAAAACAAACCGTCTTTCATTGATACAACTTATGAAGTGGCATCGGGGTCTGGAGGACTGAAGCAAAGTGGTGACACAGAATGGAACATGAATAGTGGCTTGGAATGAAAAATCAAAAAGTCCACATTCAAATTTTAGTTTGTTACATTCACTTAGGTGCAATTACTGTATTCCGTGGCGTATGAGATGCTTGAATGGATTCGACGCAGCCTCCTCTTCAAATTTTGAAGGAAGAAATCAGGAAAAAAATATTTTCCTTGTACTTCATAGGCCTTCCCACTATACCTAATTTTTCCCACTGAATAACATATTTCAGCATGGAAACCTAACTAAACATGACAAATATACCACAGACCAAAAAGTACCATATTTATGCCGTCTTGGGTATCCGTGTCCTGGGTAAGACTATAAACTATGTCCAACAGCAATGCCTCAGATCAGGAGGTTTTGCGGAGTGTGGAACCACCTCTTAACTGCTGTTGTTCCCAGGTCCACCCTAACCTGGGGTGGTAGCACCTGTTAGGGTCCAAGCTATGGGTAAATAGTTAACCCCCGAACTGGGTTCAAAACATTATGAAAGTGTAAAAATAGGTTTTAATACCAGAAATACTTTGTAAAAATTACTACCAGCAATAAATTTTTGAAGAAAAATTATTACCGGCAATACATTTTTGAAAAAATAAAATATTACCAGCAATAAATATCTTGTCAGCATTAACCCATTGAGGTTGATATGCTGGAAACCAAAGCAAATCTTGCTATAGGATAATAGTGCAACTAAATACAGAACAGACAGCACCAAAGGATAGTCTTGTCCAACATTGTAAGATGCTAGAAAGTGAAAACATTAACCTAAGAACTCCAGTCATGTTCTTAGCATAGTCTTGTCAGATTGGGACTTTAATATGAATGTCATGCATGGTGTCCAACTTGTTTATAAATTTACATTCTTTATATGCGTGCTGTTGTCCCCATCTTTGTTGTTCTCTACATCAAATTGTCCCAGAGATCAATAACATGCTGGATTAAAGTTGATTCAGGAATTTGGGGACATAATAATTGAGTTCAATCTCCAGCTTGGGCAGTGTGTGCTTTATCTCATTAGAAGCACCCCAGAAGTTCAGACCGAAATTATTCAGAAATGTCTAAACTGTCATTTATATACAACCATTTCCTCAGATCGATGATTAAAAATGGCTTCTAACAAATGAGCCCTGTAGGTCTTGACCCCTTCCCTGTCACTTATTTTTGGAAACAAATTTTTATGTTGTTTTTTAATAAAATAACTAAGAAACTAAGGCACCTAGTATGGTAACTATTTAGAATGTAATAATATCAATTATAGCTGTAATAATTCGCTCTTGCATGGAGTCTTGCTGCCATATATGGTCTGGAGCCCCTTTTATTTGTCTCAAGGTCCTTGATAAAATCCACAGACAGATATGCAATGTAATCGGCCCTGATCTGGCGTCTCGTCTGCAGTCGCTCTCTCATAGACGTGCCGTTGCCTCCCTCTGTCTTTTTTACAAATACTTTCATGTTAACTGCTCTGATGAGCTGCTTTCGCTGGTTCCCAGACTTCATGAATTTAAGCGTTCTACTAGGCTGGCATCTCGCTCTCACTCTTTCACTGTCGAAACTGTTAAATGTAGCCGTCTCTTTTACTCCAATAGCTTCATGTTTTGCACCTCTTGCTTGTGGAACTCTCTCCCTTTTTCCTGTTTCCCTGATAGCTATAATCTCCAACTATTCAAATGTAATGTCAATCGACATCTCCAGATGCCTTGATCTATCCCCTATCCTTCTCTTCATCATTCTTCTCTCACTCCTCTTTGCTCTCGCTCCAACTCTCTGTAACCCCTTGCGTGCTAGTGGCTTCCCGTCTTGCTTGGGGTGAAATGCTTAAAAAAAAAAAAAGAAAAATTAAGTGGATTCCTGGCCAAGTGGTTAGTGTCACCATTTCAACCAAATGTCTCTGGTTTGATTAGTCAAAGGGCTTTTTTTGATGATATTGTTTAGGATTGTGTTACCAGTTCCTTCTAAAGTCTTATTTTCTTTCAATGTCAATAAACCCTTGTCTTAGTGCTTGGGGGTGAAATGATTGAAAAAAAAAATTTTCTTCTTGTGGACATGATTCCAATGTGTGGGATTGTTGGGAAAGTGCCTGAAAACCTCTTCATGGTTTGACCCAAGCCTTGTGATTGAAATTGGAAGTGTTTGGAGGCTGTAAATGATTGTTCTAACACAGTCGCAAGTCCTTACCTTGCCGAGCAATGTTAAACAGCTTCTACTTAGAGATGGTGTCTCAATGAAAAAAAAAATTAAAAGCACACATATTGAGGCTTGTCCTAGCATAAGTCGCCAACTTGTGGACAGATAGAAGTCCTTTAGCCTTGTTTGGCAATCTGTAGAGATGGTGTTCTGTTCTGATAACATCCATCCCCCAGCAGCCTGACCACTCAAAAAAAAAAATAATTAAAAGCGCTCACAATGACTGAAATTCTTTAAAAAAAGTCACATGTTCACAATCTGCCACATACAGAAATAGCATGATCTGATGATACCTTAGGTTATTGAGAGCTAAAATGTTTTATTTTTTTTATTTATTGTATATAAGTTTCTAAATGGCTATATTATTATTTAAATGTTGATGATAGTTGCAAATAGTTTTAATTAATTTATTTTTATTATTAAAAGACATTAATTACTTTGTGTCCTGTTCTGAATTGTAAAAGATTTGTTTTAAAATGGGTTTGGCTTGCAGCAGTAATGCAAAAAAAAGAATGGCTTTGTATATTTGCTTTTAGCAAATATGTTAATTATACCAGGGTTTCTCTAACAGTGTGATTTCAGTATGTATGTGTTGTGCTCTGTCACCGTTTTAATTGGATTGTTCTGTTGTTGGTCGTTTTGATATGATTAAATGCTGTTGTAGGTGGGCACAATTCCTGACCTTGTTGTCTGCATTGTATTTGCAATTATCTCTACATCTGCTTTCAGCTGGAAATTTTTGCTAAACAAGTATGGTGATCCAGGGTTGCTTTGTTTGAAATTTGGTTCATTCTTAATAAAAGTACATTTTTAATTTAGAGAGATTGTTGGAATTTGGGCTATTTTTGTCTTTTAGTATTTTAATTTTGGGAGTTACTTTGCTAATTTAGATTTTACAAGCAGTATTCTTTCTTACAATTAATCTGTTAACCAAATCTCATGGAATACAAATTTGCTAAGTGTATGGATTAATGAATAGATTTTATGTTGCGGAGTTCTTTACCATAATAGAAGTGATGAGTGTGTATTCAATTTGGATGTGTAATTTTTAGGATAGCTATAAATGTTTCTGTTTGGTGGTTAGGAGTAATAGAAAATACTACAGAAGTTCGTATCATATCTCACTTTATTCATTCAGATGTACAATGGGGAGGAAAAAATGTTTAACAAGAGATTGAGTTTCTTTATTTTAAGTCATTTGTATTGGATAATGAGCAGACCTTTGTGTTTTTATTTATTTATTTGTGTGTTTGTGTGTATATATATATATATATATATATATATATATATATATGTGTATATATATATATATATATATATATATATATATATATATATGTGGTGAATACAGTATTAGAGCTATGAAAGATAATGTTTTAGTATGTAATTTGACTAATAATTTTTCTTTCTTTTTAACAGATGTTGGCATCAGACTTTTGGCCTGACTTCAATCTGGGCCATCAGCACCAAACTTTAGACAGATAACTACACACAGAAATCATTTTTTTTTTTTCCTGTTGACTCCCAATGAGGGCGGATTGGATAACGCAAGTTGTCAGCCGGGACAAGATAATCCTGCTTCTTATCAATTACGCTTTTTTTTCTGTGATTGTTGTCAGTTTCACCTTGTTTCTGCTTTACTTAACACAAGATGTCTCTCCAAGCACCAATTGGATAGCTTCTCTCACCATGCTGGCAGCTATCTTTGTTATGGTTAATATGTTCATGGCCAGTTACATTGTTCAAGTCATGCATGTACGCAACGAACTGCCAACTCTATATTTCCAATCGTGACACAATATGGAAAATAATAGATTTAAAGAAAGGAAGAAAGACAAATAGATTCTTGTTTAATTATTGTTATTTTTATAGCCTCTGAAAAAAAAAAAAGAATTGGTTTATTATCAAATTCATTTTGATTCCTTGCAAAATTTTGTTGGATTAGCTTATTTTCTAATTGTTGAAGGTTTATATTAAGACAAAAAATAAGCATTTAAATATCAAATTAACCTACACTTGATTTTGTATTTTTTGGCTTTGACTTTTATTTCTATAAGATTATTTTGAACGAGAAATATTCTTTCTTGTTCAAAGTTTCATTTAATGTTCAAATAAACACTTTAAAGTTGATATAATCAGTTCTAATCCAGTTATAAGTAAAGTATAATTCATTTGAATTATTAGTTGTTGCTTAGTGTTCATTACATGTTATGGAAGAAGAAAATCCTTCATAGGACTTTTGTATATATTGGTACTGAACAGTATTTATAAAATTTTATATATTCTTTATAAAAAGTAAAATTATTTGAGAATTTCATTTTTTTTTTTTTTTTTTTTTTTTTTCAAAGTATAAAAATTATAAGAATGGAAAAACAACACAGTACATCTGAAGTTGATCAGCCTTATCTTCCAAATTTCAAAATAAAAACTCATGAAGATCCTTCAGGTCTGGTATACCCTCAAGAACTGCAGTACCCCCAGAACCCAGGTGACCCCACAATGGTTCTCTTGAGCCCCAGCTCTAAGTATATTGTTTCACAACTAGTGGATTGTGAAGAACCATTAGTTAGTACTTTTATATTTAACTACTGGGACAATATTCTTGGGCCTCGTATCAAACACGTTTGGTACAATGGCAGGAAGCCCTTGCTCGACTCCTCTATACTGTTACAAATCTGTAAGCAAGGTTTGGCCAGTGAACTCTGTCGGGATTTGACCAACAGCACAACAGACTGGCGTATACATACCATTCCGGATAAGGGTCTTGTGGCGGTTGTGTTTGTGTTCAGTGCTAACGGGACCAATGGACTGTCCTTGCACAGTCTCACCCTCATCATCCTGCTGGAAAGACTGCAGTATTTTCTCCATTTGTTAGAGCTCATCCATAGTTGGATTAATCGTATGATTGGAAAGTTGAGAGTTCTTCTAGAAAAGGTGAGTGAATTTTATCTGCTCCTGTTCCTGTGATTTTTCAAAATATAATTTGCTCTCGGTTAAATAATAGTATGAGGTCAGTCCAAAACATATCCAGGCATTTTGAATCTCTTAAACAGACATTCTTCCATGGGTTATTCAGTCATCTGTGACACACAGTGTATTGTAACTATCACATTCATCCTGACAATCTATTTGCTGACCGTTCTTCATCATATTTGGTACATGTCTCTCTCTCGCTTTCAGATCGGGTAATCCAGTTTGCTCAGATGGTATCCGATTGGAGCCGTTTCCAAGTCTCCTTGGCTGCCTCATCCTTCAAACTTAAACAAAAAACAACCCTCTTGATTTCCAGGCATGATGTTCTCCTACTATTCTTGCTAATGGTCAGAGTTTCAAAGTGCCTCAGCCTCTAGGAGACATGCCTTACTGGTTAAAATCAGGCAACTGGCAGGCAAATCTGTGATACTGAATTGTATAATTACTGTCGCCCATCTTAATTCACCAAGTCAAAATGTGTACATGTTAACACCTCCAGTCAGTTAAGTTTAGAAGCCTCGAGAGGCATGCCTGTGTAGTATCAGGACATTTATTATTATTAACAGTGTGAGAGAGCAGTATGCCAACAAAGTGACATGGAAGTACAAATATATTAAGCCCAATATACTCATTGTGACACTCAGTCCGATAAGAGTATATCAGGCACATGCATCACAGCCAAATATGGTGAGAGATTTTGATAAAATCAGTGCTAGTTATTATTGCAGATGCAGCTCAGTTAGAAAACCCTTCCTGTTAGGTAACCCTGTTGGATGATTTCCACTTGAGAAAAAAAAGTCACAGAGTGATGAAGCTTAAAAGTAAAAAGTCACAGAGTGATGAAGCTTAAAAAAAAAGTCACAGAGTAAAAAAAGTAAAAAGTCACAGAGTGATGAAGCTTAAAAGTAAAAAGTCATGAGAAAAGTGATGAAGCTTAAAAGTAAAAAAGTCACAAAGAAAAGTGATGAAGCTTAAAAGTAAAAAGTCACAGAGTGATGAAGCTTAAAAGTAAAAAGTCACAGAGTGATGAAGCTTAAAAGTAAAAAGTCACAGAGTGATGAAGCTTAAAAGTAAAAAGTCACAGAGTGATGAAGCTTAAAAGTAAAAAGTCACAGAGTGATGAAGCTTAAAAGTAAAAATTTTCTCCCCAACTCCTATTCCTGTGATTTTCAAAATACAATTTGCTCTTGGTCAAATAATTGAGGTCAGACCAGAACCCATCTAGGCATTTTGAATCTCTTGAAAACCAGTGCATGGTTGTGATATAACCTAGTAACTAATCTAAGGGGGACACTCTTCCATGGGGTTATTCAGTCATCATTGAGATAGAGGGTAAAGTTACTATTGCATTCATCATCTTGATGCCCAGTCTTCATATCTTGTACATGTCGCCTTTGTTTTTTTTTCTTCCTACAAAGCTAAAATTACTGTTGAAGAGATAATTCAGGCCGTGGACAAGATTAAGGAGAATGTGATGAGACAGCTAATGGTGGATACTCTAAGGACTTTGATGTCTGTTTTGAAAAAAAAAATGAGAGTGGTGAATAAGGGTGTAATTAGTTCCTAAAGGGAATAATTTGAACAGAAATAAGGTAGACTACGTAGGCTATAAATTTTATTCTTTGTTAAGTGTGGATACTTTCTGGACAGACCTCGTGATTTCCAACTTTATTTTTTTTAGTTTAAAACAATTTATCTTCATTTACATTAACTTCTAGCTGCTCATTTTGTCTTTCTGATCTTAAAATTTTGAACTCTATTTTAGTGATCATTTGGCAAAATGGTTGCAAAAACTGTGATGTGTATATAGAAATTATGAGTCAGGAGAGGGGGGGTGCTTAAGCTAAGAAGCATCTCTAAAAAAAAAATATCCAATCTTGGATTTGGTTGGATTTCAGGAAGTGGATCAGAACTCTTTATCCCTTTCTTGTATAACTGTTAAAATAACATTTTGTAAATAAGTGTAGGCAATAAATATAAAAATTGTGTGCCTATATGCAGTAAATGTAAAAATTGTGTGCGTGTAGGCAATAAATGTGTGTATGCAATATATAAAAAAAACCCCAAAAAACTAAGCTATTATTCTTAGTAATATCTAGTTTTTTTAATTTTAACCTGAGAATTATGGCTATCGCCCTGTGCACTCAATAAATAAAATATGCCCTATGGCAGGCTTTGAACCTGTGTCCCTCCTTTGTAGGAGAAACCCCTATTTGATCTGGCATCCTGTAGACCACTCAGACAGGGAGAGTGTCACATGCCAGTAAGGTTCAACTACTCTTTTTAGACATAATACACACTGTTTAAAGTAAAAAAAAAAAATGGCGTCTATATCAATCACAGTATCCACTAAAAATAACAAAGTAATAATCATGTTGCATTAAAAATAAATCCATTAATTATTTAGAAATTGGGTTGTTTACACTTTGGATATGAAACTGAACATACCTGGACTGTCAGGGAAATCTGAAGAAAGAAGTGTGCATTCTTATTGGAGGCACATTTTTCTTTAGTAGGACTTCTTGATCTAGATTGGTTGTACATTAATTTCATTGCCAACTCAAGGATAAAAATGATGTTTATAGTAATAAGAAATATATTAATCATGATGTACAACAACTCCTTTAGAAATTGGAAAAATATAATAAAAAAAGTTCAATAGACAGACCTTGTTAGTGAAATTTAATAAAAATTGTTTGGAGATATATATATATAAAGTCTGATCAAAAATTTGGAATTGCTGTAAAAAGAAACTACGACACATATCAATTTGGCATTTAATCCCCTTCTGGAGCCACACATTTTATCCAGCGTTGTTTCCATTGATAGAAGCATTTCTGAAACTCCTTTTTTGCGATAGTGAGCAGATGGCTTGTCATATTCTCTTTCCTACATGTCTTGAAATCTTGTCCCTTTCAAGTGGGATTTGTAAGAGGTGAGAACTGAGGAATATGATGGTTGTTGAGCCTGGGGAATGTTGTACTTGACTAAAAACTGCTGCATAAGCTGCGCCAAATGGGCAAGTATGTCATCATGGTGGAGTTGCCACTCAGTGAATGCATTCAATTCTGTCCTTTTTCTGATGAATAGCATCCTGCAAACACTGCAACACATCACAACAATACTCCTTGTTTACTGTCTGACTCACAATAATGTCACTGTAGTCAAAGAAAACTGTCAACATCGTCTTCACATTACTTTGATCTATTTATGCTTTCTTTGGTGTCTGAGAATTTGGGGGCCTTCCACTGCAAAGACTGAGCTTTGGTTTCAGGGTCATAGCCATAGATCCACATTTCCTCACCTGTTATGACCATTTTCAAAAAGTTTTTGTCTTTCTCGACAGAATCAAGGTGATTCTACATAGCTGAAACCTGATTTTCTTTTTGGTCGACTGAAAAATGGTTTCGACATTGGTAGGCATGCATCATATCCAAATTTTCAGTGAGAATGAACTGAGCTGAACCGTAACTATGTTCACATCTTCTGACAACTCACACACAGTGATATGATGGTCCTTCCAAGCATCTATATGCACATCTGCAATATTTTTATCGGTTCTGCTGGTTCTGAGTCTCCCAAAACATGTGCCACTATCAACATTTTGTCAATGTTTGAAGCATACATCCACTTGTGTCCAGTTCATAAACTTCTCTTCATACACTTTCTGTAACTTTGTGTAGGTCTCTGTGTTGGTATCACCAAGCTTTTGTCAAAATTTGATACAGACTCTCTGCTCAATTTTTTCTATTTTGATCACTGATGGAATCTTTGTGGTGAGATGACCACACTCTACACACTTTCCTTCCAAGAACTGCTATAAACAAAAAAAAAAAGTGAGAACTTTATAGCTTAGAGTGTATGCATGACAGAGTTCAAGGTCAGTCTGTGCCAAGCCGCTTCACTCTGTGTGAATTAGAGCCATTACCATAGCAACAGTCCCAATACTTTTTGATCAGACATCTTATATATTTTGTGTGCAAGTAAATATTTATACCTTTTATTAATTGTACATTTCATTTTTATTTGTTTCATTTTCTAACCCCACCAGATGTTGATGATTAAATAAACCTTAATTTTTTTTCTATATTATTTTACCATGACTATAAACCAGTCTACACAAATGGATAAAAAAAATCCTAGATAGAATAGGTGAAACTACTACAGACAAATTCACAAACAAATCTGGCTAACAAATAATGTATCATCTATACAGCTGAACCATGAAAATGGCACGTAAAATGATAGATAATTCCAAAGATAGGAAATTTATATTTTCAGACTTCTTATCTAGTTTAACAGATTAAAAAAGAACACAAATCATCCCTATATTCAAGAAATCATTTAATAAAGCACAAATCAATAATATTGTCTTGGATTTCTAGCCATTTGGGCATCAAGGGAAATCATGAAGCCGACACTCAAGAGGCAACGAAAATGAAAATAACCACCATCAAACTCCCATATACAGATTATAAAAACAATTATACAACACATCAAGAGAAAATGGCAAGTAATTTGAGACACATTCCCAAATAATAAACTATATGAACATCGACTGACAATAAGAAAGGAAAATATAGAAACATTAGCTGATCGCAAACAAGACACAATAAGAATTGGACACACACACCTACACCTGCTCAAGCATTGGACACACACCTTGGTGTACTCACTGCAATCAGTTTCTCAGAGTCAAACATATCCTGACAGAATCTAAGAAACACAAAAAAAATGTAGCAACTATTATCAAGTACAAAGTCTACTGCCCAAATAATAGGATAATTGAAGAAAATAAAATACTTCCAACTCCTATAGAAAACAGTGCTTGGATTTTGAACCATACAACTTATGTTTTGAAATACTCCCAAACTATATAACTTGTGATATTTTGAAAATTTTAAAACCTTGCAACCACTTGAAATGTTTTGAAATATTCTTGAAAAAAAGGTCCAGTTTCAGAATTAAATGACCCACAGGGGTGTTGATGTGCTGGTAAAACAAATAAACAATCAATATTATTTTAAAAATGACCTATAGAAATGGTAACAGGTTTAGTGGAGATTTAACCCGAACTACAAATTTCCCCTAGGCAGTTGAATACAATGTCCGACTGGTAAATCTTCATTTTGTCTCTTTGTGTTTCAATGTAAATTCTCTTACTATCTTCAGCTGCCATTTTGAAATTGGTCTGAGCTGTTGTTAGCTTTTGATCTGTCTTTCAGCTGTCCAGGAAAGTAAGCAAAGCCAGCAGAGGCACTGCGTTATATCTGCAAGTATGTTTTTGGCATTTTGCTCAAATGGAAAAAAAAAATCCAAAAAACCCTGCTTTTGTTTGTTTCAGATACCACACAGACTTCAAGATTTGTTTGGATAACTGGGCTCGTTCTTTATGTTGTTGATATTGTTACCATAGATTTTAATGTGAAGAAGGGTGCAAAACTGATTGTTCAAAACATGGTAACAAAATCAGCAACAGAAAAGGGTTTGCCAAGCAACTCTTGAAACTACTATCATTAGCTAGATAAAGTATTTTTTAATTTTTTTTATTGTGGGTTGCATCAAAATAGAATAGTTTTGAATATTTTGATTTTATAACTGAGATAACTGAATTGATTTTTTAGGTGAATACAGATATATGTACAACGAAAGCAATGAGTAGGAGCAACTTTTTATGTGAAAACTTAATTTTCTACTATAAACAAATAGGTTTATACAAAAAAATATGACACCTTCAACAAATCATGCACAAACTATATATCTATAAAACATACATTTACTTTGAAGGTAAAAAATTATGTACAAAATAACTAGTTGAAGGTATACAATTGCGTTCAAAATATATTTAGTTGAAAGTATACAATTGCGTTCAAAATATATTTAGTTGAAGGCGTACACTTGCGTTCAAAATATATTTAGTTGAAGGCGTACAATTGCGTTCAAAATATGTTTAGTTGAAGGCGTACACTTGCGTTCAAAATATGTTTAGTTGAAGGCGTACAATTGCGTTCAAAATATGTTTTATGTTTTTAGTTGAAAATATGTTTAATTGCGTTGAAATATATGTTTAGTTGAAGGCGTACACTTGCGTTCTAAATATGTTTAGTTGAAGGCGTACACTTGAGTTCAAAATATGTTTAGTTGAAGGCGTACACTTGAGTTCAAAATATATTTAGTTGAAGGCGTACACTTGAGTTTAAAATATATTTAGTTGAAGGCTTACATTTGAGTTCAAAATATTTAGATTTCGACATTAACTAACCCATAGAGGTTATTATGCTGCTAAACAAAAAATCCCCCCCACCAAAAAAAAAAGACACAATTAACTTTCAGCTTTTATCTTCTTAGATTACAAAAATTCTATTTGAATAAACAGTGGAAAAGTGAATCAATTTAAATTTTTTTTAAAGGAAGAATTAAAAAAAATCAACTAATTAAAATTTACATGTTAAAATATTGTGTATAATACTGAGAAGTCATCATTCAAAGCATTATTTGGATGATGGAACTCCTTTCTTTTTTTATATTGACCAATCCATTCTACAGCCATCTTCAGGTGTATGAACTATAAGAAAAGAGAGTTGTCTTTTGAAATGAGGAAACTAAAAAAAATGGCACATATTATCTTAACAAATTGTGAATTTAAATATGATATCGATTCTTTTTCTCAGCAGAATTGGCAAACATTCCTGTACAGTGATCCCTCACTAAATCGTGGTTCTACTATCGTGGATTCACAACTTTGTGGATTTTTAAAATATATATATGGAAAATATATCGCGGAGTTTCTGGAAAATTCTAGAAAAATTGCGATATATGAACACCTAAAATTTTTCATTAAACCCATTAAAATATTAATAATAAATATTATTTCCTGGTCTAGGAACAACAAAACAAGCGTAAAATAGCAAAAAAAAACATATGCAGGGGTATTTGAACTTGTAATTCACATGACAAAACAAAAAGAACCATCTAAAATGCGATGTGCATACAGTACCAGCGTATCCTGTTGTTGAGAAAATGCAAGGCGTACCATCTCGGTGATGAAGTGCATTGTAAGACAGGCAATGATTGGTGCAATGGAGAGAGATGATGAATCACAGCTTTCTATTTTGTAATCTGGTCTGTGATTGGTGCTTTGACCAAAGCTCAGATCCACAGCATTTTCCCTTCTCTCTCTCTCTTGAGGTCATTTTACTTCAAGCTTTCTTGTCGAGCGGTTTACTGTACTACTTTATGCTGTGCTGTGGGTGATCTTCCTTTTTTTTTTTTTTTTTTTGTTGAATTTTGTGTTTTCATCCCCTGCAATGGCCCCCAAGAGTGCTGCTTCTTCCAAAGCTGGTACTCAGCCTAAACGCAAATGAAGAATGATGACGATCTCTAAGGAGATGAAACTTCTGGATATATTGAAGGAAGGGAGAACTTTTGCTGCAGAAGCCCGCCATTTTAGTGTGAACGAATCTGCTGTTCACTACATCAAGAAGGATAAGGTTAACATTCGGAAGACGGTTGCCATCAGTTTTAATAAGTCAGTGAAGAGAGTGGTTATGGTTCATAATAAAACTATCATCCGTATGGAAGCTGCTTTGGCCGTATGGATAACCGACTGCTGAAAGAATAACATAGACTTGAGTACGAACATCATCCAAACAAAGGCTAGGAGCCTGTACGAGACTTTCGCCGCTAAGGAACCTGATGACGACAGTGACGACCACGTAGAAGATCCACAACCAGTGACGTCCAGTGATTCACAACCTACAAAACGTCCTTTTTCTGTTAGCAAAAGGATGGTTTGCTAAGTTTCAGAAATGCTTCAGCCTGCATGGTGAGGCTGCTTCTGCAGACACGTGCGCTGCTGAAACATACGTGAATGAAATTTTCAAGAAGATTATCTCTGAAGGTGGATATAAGCCCGAACAAATTTTTAACATGAACGAAACTGGCTTGTTTTGGAAAAGAATGTCGTCGCGAACTTTCCTGTGCAAAGAAGAAGCAAAAGCCTCTGGCTTTAAAGCATAGAAGGAATCGTGTGACCCTCGTTATGTGTGACAATGCTGCGGGATTTTTGTTAAAGCCAGGACTTATTTACAAGTCTAAAAACCCAAGGGCTTTAAAAAAAACAAAAACAAGAATCGATTACCCGTACATGCACAATCCAAAGGCGTGGATAACGAAGATGCTGGCCTTTGATTGGTTCCACCAGTGTTTTATCCTGCAAGTCAAGGTGTATCTATTAGAGAAGGGCTTGCCATTTGAAATCCTTCTCCTTATGGATAATGCTGGTGGCCATGTTACTGATCTATCGCATGAGGGCATTCAGAATGAGTTTCTGCCACCCAACACTATGTCACTTAATCAGCCAATGGAGTTGGGGGGGGGGTTATCAGGGCGTTCAAGGCCGTATACCTGATTGCTTCTGTGGATGCTGCCCTAGAAAATGAAGACGAAAATTTTAACTTGAAGGCATACTCGCAGCAGTACACAATTAGTACGTGCCTCCAAAATATCCAGAAGGCACTGCAAGAAATGAAGCCTGCCACCATTAACGTGAGCTGGAAGAATTTGTTGCCTGAGGTTATTTAGACAACAAGGGATTTACACCTGCTGAAATCCAACACTCCTCAGTACAGAAAGCTTTGCAGTTGGCTGCAATCATTGGAGGTGACATGACCATGGGAGCCATCGACAAGTTATTAGACTGCCACTCCAAGCTAGTAACCGACGCAAACCTTGAAGACTTGATGAAGTCGGCCAGCGAAGAAGAAGGAATGCAGCAAGAAACGGAAGAAGTTGTCGACCAAACTGGCTTGACTTTGGAATGGCTGGCCAAGCTCTGCAACCTGGCTAAAGAATTGAAAGCGGGGTCACAGGAATGGGACGATGATATGTTTCATTCTGCAACAAGGTCAACGAAGTCATGAATGCCTACAAGATGCACTTTGAACAAATATAGAAGCAGCGGAAGCAACTTCCTATCACAATGTTTATGCAGCCTCGCAAAAAAAGAGTCAGTTCCTGCTGCTACTACTATGGTTGCACCTTCGGAAGAAGTGGAAGAGGTGACCCAGGAAAGGGCATCACCATCTGAAGAGATGTAAAATACAATTATGGGCTGCACAATAGAAGTCATCATCAGCTACATCAGCATCATTTCTACTGCACATCATCATTCAAATTTTAATTCAACTTCTTTCGTGTTGAATACAGTAACAATCTTTATTTTTTTTAATCTAAAGTGTTATTGCTTAACAGTTGTCCTTCTTATTAATAGAGTACTGTAATGGGTGGGTTGTTAACAGTACAGGGAGGGTTTTAAAAGTCCAAATACATGTTAAATACTGTAAATATGGCGTCACTATTTAGTGGAAATTCAGTTATCGTGGTCGGTCTCGGAACCAATCTACCGCAATAAATGAGGGATCACTGTATATCAGTTGTATTACTTGGGTTGTTGAGAATACAGTCATCCATCTTATTTATATTGAGGGTAACAAACCGAGTAGGTGTTTAAATTTTCCAGTGTCCCACTTTTGTTCAAGATTAATAAAAGTTATTGGACTTAAGAAATGTATTTTCCTGAAAAATTGTTTTAATAGAAAGACTGCTCAGTGAGTTAATGTTAGATGTTTCCTTAAGAAAATGGCTAATATTACCATTATAAGGTCCCTGATTTTCCATTTCAAATTTTCCTTGATTCTGTTTTCACTTTTGGTAAATTCTGTTTTTTTTCTGTTTTTACTTTTGGAAAATTTAATTTTTTCCATTTTTATAGTATTTTATGAGAAAACTGCAAAATGATGTTATAATTGTTATTAAAATTGAAAACAAAAATATAATTTAAAGTTTTATTACATATAAAGAAATAGAAAATATGTACAAATCTTTTTTAAATGTTAAAATCCAAGTCCAAAAATAAATTATATGTAAAAATAAAAAAATATTGTAATATGACTAGACAATAAAACAATGGAATGTTACAGTGCATATCTTTGAGGTAGAACTTTCGTTTTTAAGATAACATTCAAACACATTCAAATTGTTTTTTGTTTTTTTTTTAAGTAAAAGAATTTAGATTGATTTATAATTACTGATTCATAATATAAAAATCACATTTAAAGTAACAATAGCAAATAACTTGAATCTCAATAATAAATATCTGAATAAAGACAAACATTTTGGCTAAAATTTTACAAAACCGTAATTAAACCATAATAATTGAATCTTTGTAACAAAATATCAAAAAACAAATTAGATATATTAATTCAAAATTTAAATAAAACAACTTACCCCAAGTTGAAATACTGCTCAAATTTAAAATTTAAAATTGCCAATTTCTTAATTTGGGAATTAACATTATGGATACGGAATTTGCAAAATAACATTTTCTCCTGCATAAAAGTCATCAGGAAATTGCTCTAGTCTGGCTTTAGCACAAATTTTAGATACTGGGTTTATTTTATTTTTTTTTTTTTGAGAGGGGGCCCCAAATTTTGTAGCTGATTCACTACTTGATTCAGTGATTGTTTTTTCTTTATTTCTAAATTGTATGGTAGGCATATGATAGCATTTACTTTTTCATATTCATAAAACAAGCTTACAAGTTATTTAGAATCTCTTACTTGTAAATTGTGTGAGGCCTAAAGGAAATGAATTTCTTAAATTTATTGGCTTGATCTTCATCTCTCTCTCTCCCCTTCAATTTTGACATCAACTAGTGTCTGTCTTCCATTTCCACTTTAGCAATTGATTTTGGTACCCACAACTGAGCCGTGACCTTCTGACTGTCATCTCGTTTGCAACAGAGTTTCTTAGAAAAGTTATAAAATATTTAAAAATATACTAACCAACATATTCTCAAATAATTGGCAACCCACTTTTCTTACTTTCATGTAAAACATTTTTGTTCTTAATTTTTGGGCTCTATAAGAAGATCTACGTAGATTTGTAAAAACAAATTTTAAGGAAATAACTATGTTATGTTATTGTTATATTAAAATGTTTAACAAAATTGGACAGACAGTCATTAATCTTCAAAAGAATTTAAAAAAAAAAATGGAAAATAAAAAATCAAGTAATTAATTTGTTATTTATTATTGAAAATTACATTAAAAACCCAGATTCCGTTTAAGATTAACGATTCCATGATTGTGGAAAATTTATTCCGCTACCATTACCATTTTTCTGTTCACTAGCAATTTCAGAAGAATGATCATTTTCTTTGCTTTGAGATTGTATCTGAAAAAGGCTGTAGAATGGAATGGCTGAATTGTGATAATTAGGAAGGCAATATAATGAATGAGTTTGCTAAGTTTTGAAAACTTGGAATGAAAATTTAGATGTACTTATTTTAACACACACACACACACATGGCGGGAATACCTCCTACATATACCAATGAAGACACCGTTGTCCCTAATGTCTTACCATTATGTGAGAGGTATTTTTGCTGCACCCTGTGTGCATGTATGTATGTATATGTATGTGTATACACACACATCTGTTATTTGATAAAAAATTTTAATTTGAGGTAATCCTATTATTTAACAGAAAACAATATATTTTTTACAGAATCTAGTCTACGTGTTCTTAAATGCATACAAAAAACAAAATTCAATTTCACTATTCTATTCAATATAAATTCAAAATTCTATTCAATATAATCGCCATCAGCTTTGATCACATGGTCTTTATTCATGTTGGCCATGTGATTCCTGACCACAACCTTGAGCAAGTTCTTAGTATTGTGGGCATGTTTGTTGCTTTCCTGCTCAATAACACTCCAGACATTATAAGCGACAAGGTTTAAATCAGAAGTGCTTGAAAGCCAAATGTTAAAGGATTACATGATTGTGAAAATGCTTGACTTTGTTTAGCAAGCACTTTGAACAGATGGCATAGTTTTCCTGATTATTATTGGACATAAATCGCTTTCTCTTCATAACATAGGGTTTGTATCTGATGTTTTTGGTCAACACAGATCTGATTGTTGACTAAACACATGGAGCTCATTAACAATAGCCCTCATTGATTTTCTAGGTTTCTCATCGATAATACCCTGGACTTGCTGGATAAACACGACATTACTGACAATGTCTGTTTTTTTTTTTTGGCCACTAAAGACAAATTCTTGGCAGAAGCCTGGAAGATTTTTTCTTATCTTAAACGCAAAGGACGTGGTGACACTTAAGAAGACTGCAATCTCTGATTCTGTGTTGTCGGTAGCCTTTTCATCTTTTGCAAAAATGATATATGTTAATATAAATATAAAATATAAAAGTGACATATGTTAATATAAAATATAAAAGTGACATATGTTAATATAAATATAAAATATAAAAGTGACATATATTGATATAAATATCAGGTAAGCAAGAGATGATTTAAAAAAAACGTGTTGATATAAATATCAGGTAAGCAAGTGATGATTTTAAAAAAACAAAAAAAAACACAAAGTGGTTTTTACATTTTTCCTCTTTAAAATTTACTTTTTTTTATTTTCCACCCACCTTCAGGACACAGATAGTGAAGCTCTCTCTGCATTTACATCTTATTTGTGTCAATTTACCGAAATGCTGCTGTCTCTTCGAGAAGCAAAGTTACCTGTTACAATCAGGGTACGTAACTGTTACTTTTAATTTTTTTTTTTCTTCATTATTTTATTTATTTTAATTTTCAGTTGCTGCATTTTGCAGACTCAGAAACTGCATCAAGTTGTATTTCTGTATGAAATGTTCAATAGCTAATTCACTAATTTCTGAACTGGTGTTTATTTTTAGATACATATCATTGAAAAAATAAGTGCAGTTAATTTATTAATAATTTTTGGCTTGTATTTCTTTCCTTTTAATTTTAGTTGCAGATTAGAAGTAATACTTTTTTTTTTTACCCATCAGGAAACACTCTCATCGCTGGGTGTTGACTTCAATATCCACTTTTATATTTACATACACTCTATCCCTGATATTGAGCATATTAACCCAAAAATACAGCATACCTTAAAACACACACACACACACACATATATATATATATATATATATATATATATATATATATATATATATATATATATATTATATATATATATATATATATATTTATGAAGAATATTTATGAAGAAGGAAATTACTGGAAATTAATTGAAACTCACCTGAAGTGAGCTGAATGTGTAATGCTCCTCATGCCAATGACACTTCCACCGAGCTTCTCTACGGCATATGACTTCACTGAATTTTGATGTGTTCCTCTCGAATTTTAAACTGGGGTCATCAGGAGAGAATGTGCACTGTTTCGGGGCCTTCCTCTCAACGGTTTCAGTTGCACGTGGCCCCCCCCTCACTGATGTGAGGCCCCATTATAACGATATACAAGTGTTGTAGATAAACTAGTTCAAATGTGTAACGGCGAAATTAAATTTACAAAAATTCCTAAAAACGGCAAACTGAGAATGCAATGTGAACCTCATTACGCATTCACGATCAGTCATGTCATGCCGTCATGTTCGCTGAAACACTCCACGCAGTATTTTGTTTTTTCCATATCCACATAGAACTATTTTCTGTTACTTCTATTAGGCATTTTATACTCTTGGCCCTATTACGCCCTTTGATTCCAATTTGGCCCAGAAATTGGTACAGAGTGCCTGAAACGAAACCCCTTGCTCCAATTTCCACTGCTCTAACAATTGCATTATATCCCTCCTTTATTAGCTCTGACTTTAGATTTTCATATTTATTAGTTTTATAATCGTGGCTTTGTTCCATCCGGCATTCATATGGTACTGTTAACTCAACCAGGATGATTTTATGGTTCACTCTTGACAGAAGAACAATATCTGGTCGCAGACCATTACTTGATATTATTTTTGGGTAATCATTATGCCAACCAGGAAGGTCTGCAGATACCTCCCAGATGCCACCAGAACTAAGGAGATTTTTTCCGGGTATTTTATGGGATAAAGTGCTCAATATCAGAGATAGAGCATATGGGAATATGAATATAAAAGTGAACATTGAAGTCAACACTCAGAGGTGATAGGCTGTTTCATGTTAGACACAATTGTCAGGTCGCCTGTTGCCTCTGAGTGTTGACTTCAATGTTCACTTATATATATAAGAAGTAATGAATTTTTATTTATTAATCAGACAAATTTTATTACTTAAACGTTATATATTTTTTTTTCTTTGTCGTGAATACCCATATTTGAAAAGACACTCCATTTATTAAAAATTATATTTATTTTTGTTAGAAAAATCATATTAAAGGAAAATATATGCTGTCCAGCACCATTTGAATTTGTCTCTCTTGGCAGCAGAAAATGTTGTTAGATCCAATGTACCTTAGACTATCTCAACCACAAAGAAATTTGCCAATAAAACAGGACTGAATAGTGCCTTTAAACAAAATCCTTCTTATCATAGATTCTCAAAATTTAATTTCTGCTCAGTTTTGTATTCAAACATCTCTCTGCTGAGGAGGATGCAAGTTCCAATCCTGCCAGAGAGCGCATATTTTTTTTGCTAACAAGATTTCTTGAATATTCAGACCAGTAGACAAAAATACATGAATATGCTGTTTAATAAATAAATAATGTCTATTCCTATATAGGTATCCACTAAAAATAATGTTTAAAGTAATAAGATCTGTTGGATTAATAAATAAATAATCCATTAATTATTTATACATATATATAAGTGAACATTGAAGTCAATGAGGCTACAAGCTGTTTCATGCTCGACACAATCATCGGGCCATGAGTGTTGGATTTTTCTCAACTATTTATATATATGTGTCAGTAATGCATTGTGGGTAATTCATTCTGGTGGTTATTTTGGCAGGAAAGGCTTGCTTATTTATTTGGGGTAATTTATTTTACTTGTTTTTATTTTCATTTTTTATTTTTGGTTTTTGACGTTTTATTAGCGTAGTAAAAAAATTCTTAGGTCATTTATTTAATAATTTGTTTTGGTCTGAGAAGATAATTAAAGCTATTTATTTGTCCAATTATTGGATTGGTTGCCATAGTCTATTCTGTTACTTTGGCAGGGGAGAGTTTTAATTTGTTTATTATTTTATTTATTTGTTTATTTATTTGTTATTTATTTTATTATTTGTTTTTGCTTATTTATGTTTGTTTTTATTAGTTCCAATGGTTATTTTAGTGGGAGTGATTTGTTAATTTGAGTTATCATTCTTAAAAATATTGTGAAAGTAACTAAATAACTGAGAGAAAGACAGTGTGGACATAGTCATTGTATAGTGACTGTCAGTTTCAAAGGACAACTCGCTTTGGCTTATGGTCTCATGTTGAAACACCAGTTTCTGTATGATCACTGAAGTTAAGCAATGTCAAGCCTGGTCAGTACATAGATATGTGACTGCTTGATAATACCAGATGCTGTAAGCTTGGATGTGTGGCAGGTGTAATGGATAATGGCTCAGAATTTTTAATTGGAGATCAGTGTTTCAATTCTGGTTGAGTTTGTTATATTCACCTATGCACAAATAGCCTTGGGAAAGGTATGAATCCATCTCTTCTCTCCTCCCAGGTATAGGTTAATTAGTAAGGTATGTATAATTATTATCTAAAAAAGAAAAGAAAAATTGTGTACAAAATATTTAGATTTTGACATTAAATAACCCATAGAGGTGTTGATATGCAGCTAAACAAAAACCAAACCAAACCAAACCAAACAACTTCTGAAAATTGCATTGAAGCATGAAACAGTCACCATGCAGTGTTGATTCCTATGTCTACACTGTCTATATTTATAAACACTCTCTCTTTGATATTGAGTACTTTTCTATAAATATATCAAATTTTAAGTAAGTGCTCAATTTCAGAGATAGTGTTTATAGATATAGACAGTATTAACATAAGAATCAACATTGCATATTAACTCTGTAATATTGATTCCTATTTATTTATATATATATATATATATATATATATATATATATATATAATACATACATGCACACACACAAATGAATAAATATAAATAAATGTACATGTAAGTGTTCAAATACATACATATATATTGTTTGGGGTAAGAAAAACAGTGCTCAATGCTAAATAACAGAGGCCTCAAGTATATATTAATAAATATACATAATACCGTTTTAATACTAAATTTACATCATTTAGATGTTGTCCAAATGGCGTATATTCAACTCAGTACCTGAAGATTGCACTGAGCATTAAACTCCAAGTTGTACTCTCGACATATTATGTATATTTATTAAAAGAATATATATGTGTGTGTGTGTGTGTGTGTGTGTGTGTGTGCAAGTATATAGAAAAATAGGAAAGAACATGTTAGGTAAATAATCTGAAATTCTTTAGCATTTTTGTTTTTATTTTTTTCAAAAACAGTGCTCAATACAAAAGTAGAGCCTAAATTATAATTATTTTTTTAAAAATATGATTCCTTCGCTACATAAGAGTTCTCGTGTTTCAAAAACATGAGCCAAAAACTGTTTCACCCTCATTTTTTTTTTCAATTTTTTTTCTTTCCATCACCTTTGTACCCACTGACACACACATATATATATATATATATATATATATATATATATATATATGTCATCCACAGATAGGCTGTTTTGCTGTATCACAGACCATAAGTGTGGCTAGACATGCGATTGCTTCATGTCAGGATTGAAACCCGACGGATTTGAAATCAGTCAGAGACTCTCACCCTCAGGTCATCAGAGCATGTGGTGGAGAAAGGGAATTTTTAATGCATTATTTATGATATATAAGCATTACTGGATACCATTGTGCTCAATTCATAGTGAAGAGGTTTTTAGTTTGTAGCAAACATTGCAACTTTTTGCTAAACAAGCATGAGTTGATAATCTTATCAAAAGCTGCGACCCCCTTTTTAGCAATTGCGCTTGTGTAAAAAGAAAAACCTGGTAGCATGCATGCTGCGAATCTCAAGAGGCTTGCGTTTCCTCTTTCATTTTGGCCTGAGGTCATGATAGGGCGCTAAAATTAGCACTCCAAGCAATACACATATGGCTTAGATTCACTCTTTAACTCACCAACAGAGTAAAGTTCAACTTTTTCTTCATTCTTTACAGAGACTCCCATAAGAACATTCCTTGAATTTGCACTTTCTTTCAGGAACATTCCTTGAAATTTTCTTCACAAAAAGTTCCTGATAGTATAAAAATTTCTGTTTCATTTAGTTTCACACTTTTGTTTATTTATTTTCTCAATCAATTCAACATTCTTAATTTTTGTTTGTTAACACATAACACCTTTTCAAATTCAAACAACTGCCCCAGCAACAAATTTTAAGATCTGCTATATTTAATGGGTAAAAGTGCTCAATATCAAGGATAGTGAATGTGTAAATATAAAAGTAGACACTGAGGTCAACACCAAGTGGTGACTGTCAAATAGCCTGAAGATTACGTTGAAGCATGCAACAGACTGTTGTCACTCACTGTTGACCTCAGTGTCCACTCTTGTAAATTATATATAACAAAATTTATAATTTGTTTTTATTTTCGTTATGTTTTCATTTACAACTTTTATTTTGATTTCTTTTCTTAATTCAGGTATGTGATGGTATTTTAAGTCCCTCGCATAATATTGAAGAAGACTTCTTGAGAACTGCTATTGCTTCCCATCTCATGACATTTGGGCGAAGTGTTGTGATTGGTAAACACATCAAGAGGATCAATATGGTGAGTAGGTTTGAATATCGACAAAAAAAGCTGCTATTGTGACATGCTAGTTATAAGACAATAATCATGATGGCTGTTAATGGTGCAATATGCAGTGGCAGTTGGTTTTAGGTTTTTCCTTCTCGTGGCATTTGCCCAAAATTGATATAAATACAGTTGTGTGGAATTTGAACCTAACTTCCTTTTTAGAGTAGGCAATCATAACGTTACTTTGCATTTATACAAACATCATCATGAGAGCTGTTTCAACTTGGCACATGGGCTTATGGCCATATCATGTTGAAATACCGGTTCTTGTATGATCACCAAAATCAAGCATGGTCAGTATCTAGATGGGTGACCACTTGGTTAAGTGCCATATCCCAAAAGAAATATGATACTTAACCCTCCATTAGTATTGTATGGTATTTGTCTTTTCAAGCATCCTATTTAAAATATACTTAAATTATTTAGTTCTTAATTTTCTTGTTATATATTGTTTTTGAGTGTTCTTTCTAGTTTTTGTAGGATAAATGAAAATTAAAAAATAAAAAGGTTTTATTATGAAAAATTGAACTAGAAGGCCAATATTAAAAAATGAATTTGTACATTTTGAAAATTAAAAAATAAAAAGGTTTTATCATAAAAAATTGAATTAAAAGGCCAATATTAAAAAATGAATTTGTACATTTCCAAAAATTCAAGGGCTTATATTGCATTGAAACTTTGGTTCTTGTATGATCACTGAAGTTAAGCAATGTCGAGCCTGGTCAGTATCTAGATAGGTAGCTACTTTGGAATACCTGGTGCTGTAAGCTTGGATGTGTGGGTTGTATAATAGATAACTGCTTGAAATTGGAAATTAGAGAGTTGAGTTCCAATTCCAGTCGGGTTTGTTATATTCACTTATGTGCAGATATCCAAGGGAAAAGGTTTCAATCCACCTCATTTCCCAACAGATAATTAGTAGATCTTGTATCAGGAAATGTGTATTATCTCCTCAAAATTCTTAGAATCTAAAAATATTTTCTGTGAAGTGTAAGCGTTCTCAAAGCAAATTTGTTACTTTCACAATGCTTGTAACGAGTCAGGAAAATAACTCGCTCTCCAACAAACGCTGTAGCCAAAAATGCCAGAATTTTCCTTCCCCGAATCGAAAACACCAACTGCTTTTATCGGCAGAACCTATTTTTTTCATTCGTCGACAGTTGGGATAGGATGCTCTATAATTTGCATATCAATATACTCTTATAGCGACTCCTGCGACGGACTTGTTTCTTTTTCCATCACAGAATACACGCGACGCGCTGTCGCTTGGGTTGACGAGGTAAGTCGCCGTTTTCTTTGCTATAAGATTTTTGCTGACTACTTTTTGGTATTCCTCCTCGGCAGATCGCACACAAAACACGAACTTTTTTCCGGGGTACCTGATTACCTCGTTCACTACATTCTGGCTTTAAATAACCTACAATGAGTTGATAAGCTGTAAAAAAACAAACCCATCAATCAACTTGGCACTTCAGCAAATTTGTAAATATTTCTTGTCAGTCCTCTTTAAACCTTTGTGTCCTGTGCTAATTCTTGCAAATTCTTCAGGGCTTCAAAGTTCTTCACAGTTTTTATGGAGAATTATGGAATTCTCTTAATAGTCTTTCTAATGTTGTTTCTCAATGTGTATACTATGTTTTTTTTTTTTTTGTCTTGTGTCTACCAATGTTACTCTTCTATTTAGTACTATGGAAAACCATTTCCGTAATATTTACTCTGTTTCCAAGGCTACTAACTTGTACTGTCTAACTCTGATATTAATATCAGGTTCTTCGATTTTGATTTCTTGGAGATAACATCAGTGGCAAATCTACATTTTTGTCACCCTGAAGCTTGAACAGATGGGGGTCACTTCGCAACCAGCAGCAATAGATTTGAGGATCGAACTGCCAAAATGTCGGCTGTCAATAGATTCTGGCAAGCTCAATGTGCTGATACAGCTAGGAATTTGAGTGCTGCAAGCCCCCAAGAAAATTTTGAAATTTGAACATTACAAGGGAATTTTGACGTCATGTGAAATAGGTATTAAAGCATATTCTAAGGCCAACATTATCTACTTCAACCTATTGGCTTATAATTCTACGACTAAATTGGCCTTATTTTAATAACAAACACTTCATTATTTTCATTGTAGATCTGTCACTCAGTGTTATAACTATCAATGTGCCAAGCCAATAATTAGTGCTTTTCTTTCTCTTTTTAATTTCTTTTTTTTTTTTCACAAGTCTTCTAAAATTTTCTAAAAAAATCTGTAAAACATTTTTGTTTTAAATAAAAAGTTGCCAACTTTTAACGGTTGGCAACCGGAAAGATCATTATAAATGCAACTTCTATAACATTTTTAAATTGGCAAGGGAAGCAACTGTTTTTTTCTTCAACATGAACATGTAACATTACCTCCCTTGTATATTGTATGAAAAAATTCCGCGTCGAACTTGCGTTTGATGGTACAAAACAAATAGGTTTCTTTTTAACAGTTTTACTCAATTGATTTCAAGCACGGCCAATTTTGCCAAAGGTTTAATGTACGAACCTAAGGTTTAAAATGAATTTTTTAAAATGAAAAAGCTTTCATTTTAGCTTTAATTGAAGGCTTTAAGGATTAAATTTACTATTTCCAGTAAGTAAAATACTATACTCCGGTGCTTTTCAAACAGAAATTATATTAATTGGAATCGATTTTTTTTTCTAAAATAGCTGATTAGCACCCTTTTTTTTAGTCCTCTTTCATTGCAATGTAATTCTCTGTATTAAAAAAATCTTCGAAAAATAAAATATTCTTTCCTAAAATTTATTTGAAGAATATTATTTGATCTGAAACAAATATTATTTACTTTAAAATAACACAGAAATGTATTTTTAAAATAAACAGTAGCTGTGTGTTTTTACTGACAATAGTCATGTTTACATAGTTGATGGGTGTTGACAACTTTATTGCTATTCTACAGGGGCTTTATCTGTAAAACAATTTAAGAAAATGATGTAAGCGCCTTTTTTATATAATTTTTAAATACTCAGTAATCTTAAAAACATTGGAAATATTCTCAGTATTTTAATTTTTAGGAATGTTGACTTTAAATTTACTGAAGTCATCATCACTCTTATTTTCTGATAATGTCATGTATGGTTGACCATACTTTCAAAAATGGGCACATTACATAATATTTTATATAAAAAAAATTAAAAATTATTTAAAAATTCTTGGTGCATGATGATTTGTATTAAGCTTTTCAATTTTTGATTAGTAAATATAATGAATATATCTCCTAATGCAAAAGTAATGCAGAATTTTAAGATTTAAAAAAGTTTTATAATAAATTTTTATAATTAAAATGAAAAAAAAAGCAATTCTTGTAAAAATTCATTATTCATCAAAAAAAAAAAGAAATTTCTTAAGACAATAGTTTCCTTAAATTTTATTTATAAAATCAATTAAAAGCTTTACTAATTAAATAATGTCATAGTTTTATTGCATTTCTTATTTTACAATTCAGAGCAGATTTTTGGGAAATAAGTAGCAGTTTGACAAATAAAGATTGATGATTTACATTCTGTAAAGAGTCCTGCTTTTAAATAATAAAACAAATTTTGCTATTCAAATTTAATTTCCTCAATTTTCATGGAATTATGTAAGTGGGTGGTAAAATATATATATATATATATATATATATATATATATATATATATATATATAATTTATATATAAAAATTTTCTTAATATATTTTATCAAGATTTTCTGAACAAAAAAATATCAAAAATAATTTCATTCATTTGTCGATAGGTCCTGAATGTTTCATTAAAATCTGATAATTATTTGATTTTTGCAGGAATTTCCAAATCAATGATTTTTACCAAAATAAAAAAGGTGTTAAAACACCAATAGTAATTATTAGGTTGATTGCTGAAACAAAAAAACAAAAAAAACAACAAAATTTTGAACATGCTAGAAAGGATTAAAACATTTAATAAAATAATGAAAAAATACCTTGGTCTATCCTTTTAATAATAACAAACACTTTGATGATAAAACTTTGTTTTTATTAAGTTTGGGGCTATTTTCATCATAGTTTGCTGTTATTTCAGCAAATTCGAGGAGGTATCTAGTTTAATGGTTACCCTGATTGCTGTCGTTCTTTTAAGATTTTTTGTTCATAAAATATTATCTTAGTAATTGTGATTACAATTATTAAAGTTTTTTATTTTATATTTTTCATGTTGGTTAATGAGTATTTGGTGTTTATTAAAAAGAAAAAAATATTTCTAGCAATGATTATGAATTAAACTACAGAGAGATGCAGAGATGAGGCAGAGTCTGTTCATATGAAAATGTTATCAGTAGCAGCAGAAAATACTTAGCAAAATGGTGTAGGTGAAAAATTTAATGAGGTCATTGGTAACTTATTAAATAATGTGTTGATGGCCAAGTGGTTAGAATGTGGGGGTTGTAACCATGAGTTCTGGTTTTTAATCTGTGGCAAACACATGACAGTGCAGACACAAAATATGTCCTGGATCGCATATGAACATGCCTGTCAAAATCGGTTACATCTGGGTTTTCCCTGTTAGCAATGGAACAGCTTGGCATGTCCAGATATGGTCCTCTCTGTATCTTGTCTAGATTCAGATTTGTGTCAGCTGTCTCTTGTTAATAAAAGCGATAGGTAAACTAGCAGTTGGTGAGATTCGGTATCTTGTGAAGTTGGTCCCTTGGATTGTTTGTTCCTCAAGTTGCGTGCTGCGATTCCCCCCTGCCATCTCTTTCCCTTCTCTGCCTGTTACTCTATTGATCTTGGGAGAGCAATCGATTAGGTGTTTCCCCCAAACTCAACACACCCTTGTTGTGTTTTACTGCAGAATCTCACCAGAGATGATTTGTCAAGGTGGTAACTTCTTGATAATATTGCTTAGAGAGAATATCCCATTATGTGCAATCATTGGGAAGTGTTTGAAAACCCATCCATAGGTTGACCCAAGCCTTGTGAGCAAAATTGGTAAATAAAACTGGTTTTGCTAGCATGAAGTTAGAAATTTGACTTTCTGCTAGCGCAGCCAGGTTTGAGAATATTGATCTAGTTCAACAACCGATCATATCAGATTATGGGCATTCTCTCCCAGAAACTGTAATTAGCACAGTTGCTGTATAAATCACAGGCTGGCTCTTGAAGGGGTTGAAGAAATACGCACTGCAATAGGGATAACGAAGAAAGTGGAAATTATTAATTTACATTATTTACATTGTTTGGACTGTTGTCCTCATCTTTGTCATGTTGATTGGAATTTTGAGCTGAACCCTTTTTTTCGTTCACTGTGAAGCTGTGGTAATAAATATAAAGGAGAAACAGGTTGGCCCCTTAAAGTAAGACTGCAAGACCATTGTAAAGCCATAACACGAAAAACATGAAACCTGCTGTCCCCTTAAGACTACATGAATATCGTAAGGCTGTAACATGAGTGGAAATAGAAAAATCAGGTATAGCTGACCACATATGGAGGGAAAAGGGAGATCACTGCCCCTTGTGGGATGAGGATGAAATAATAGACAGAGAACATGAAAAATATGAAAACTTAAGGAATCAGCACATATGCTAGGCCGGAAAAATGAAATGAATACAATATGGGAACTAGTAATACAGAGTGCTAGAGAAAAGCAATAATAACAAAATTACAATATGAGCTCTGGTAAAAAAGGTTACTGAGACATTAAGTTTATAAGCCAAAATTCATAGACTGATGTCCACAAGGTGACACGTGGCCTAGTGGATAAAAGTGTTGGTTGGATCCACTGACTTGACCAAATGGTTCAATACCTGGCTATGGCAGTGCTGAACAAAAAATTTGGAGAGTTGAGTTAAAGGGAGATAACCGAGACATCTGGAAGAGGCGTGGCACATGGAACTAGAACATAATGAACAATAATAGGTTCAGTTTGAAATTCCAATCACCGGAAGAAGTCCTGAGCGTACAATGGCTGAAAAGTCATGAACATGACAATAAAGGATGAAGATAACAGTCCGAACGATGTAAATCATTACAATCCCTCATCTCAGAAATATAGACAGATATGGGAGTTATTAATTGTGGAAAAAAATAATTATAGTATATCAAATAAATACTGTACTGGGGAAGAGGAAAATTGAAAGAACCAATTGAATTGTGCCAGCACTTGTATTGGAATAGTTGCTGGTTAGATAGACTACATTCTACAGAAAAGACATTGGTTAGCACAGCACAACAACTAACTATATAGATAAATCATGAAGAGAAGACCTCAAAACTCATGAACTGATGTCACAGAATCATAAACAAAGAACTGTCCCAAATAACAGAAACCACATCACTTGATGACTTTCAGCAACAGCTAAAATGAATAGCACATGTAACTCTGAGAAAATAGCATAATCAAGATGTTGCTATCACACACGACTTCAAACAAAAAGTTAAATTGATTTATTGATTCATTTTCTATTTGCAGTTTATTTAAAGCCAGAAAATATTTTTAGATTGTAAGCTTCTTTTAGTTAATAATGATTAAAGTCATACACATCTTACTAATTAACCCATAGCTTGGGGAGATGATGTGGATTCATACCTTTTCCAAGTGTATTTGTGCATAAGTGAATATAATGAGCTCAGTGGGAATTGGAACTCAGCTCTCTAACAATTCCAAGCCATTTTCCATTCCACCACCCTCACGTAGAAGCTTTACAAGCTTACCTGGTATTCCCAGGTGGTCATTCATTGAGGTACCGACCAGGCTCAACATTGCTTAACTTTGGTGATCATATGGGAAACAGTGTTTTTACTTGATGTGATCATAAGCCCAAAAAGTTAGTAAGGAAAACCATCAATACTGGAAAGAGTAATAACAGCTACTGGACTTGGGAAACTTTTCCTGAAAAATTGTTTTAGGAGAAAGATTTTATAAATTCCAAGCAACAGTAGAACTGGCTGTTTGGTCAGTGAATTGATGAATGTTTCCTTATAAGTAAACAGCTAATATTACAATTTTTATTCTTTTAGACAAATTCATTCATTCAGTCTGTATAGTTAATTTGTGACATTTCAGGTGGATAAATCAACTGTTTGTTCTTTCTTGTGTACTTCTTTCAGGTGATTAATGCCTTGTCCCTTTTCAACTCCTATGAGGAACGGCTGTGTTCCAGGAGGGTCTTGGATGAATCAGGAAAAATGTGGCCCTACCATCATGACTTATTTTTGCAGGGTTTGGTTACGGTAAGTGCTGTTACAAAGAGGAGACAATTACATTGTCACACTACAATTTGATGTTTTATAATGTATAATTTATTCTTATTTTCAAACCAATTTTCAATCTTCACTTCTTTCCAAAATATTTTATTTAACACGATCCTCTTTCCTTCTCTACTCTCCCATTATAACCATTCTTGGGAAAATTTTTCCTTCAACCATATCTGAAGAACTATAAAATTTACTCTCATCCGTCCTTGATCAACTATAAAATATGTTTACAACACAATCAATTTGGTTCTAAATGATCCACAAGATGTTGATGGGCCTTTACATGATCGATCAATCAATCAATCTCTCATTATGCATTTTTTTAACCTGACTGCTTCATCTTACTTATTATAAAACGCAGATTGTGTGTGTGTGTCTGTACATTTATATATTGGATCGGATTTCCTACTTTTTTCAACTGATTTCAACAAAACTTCACAGGACTGCGTAAAATTACCTTGCGGTGGTTTTGACAGCGCCAAAAATTGTAAAAACACAATTTTTTTTGCACAAAATTAATTTGAAAACACGATAAAACATGATTCTGTCACCAGAATGAAAGGGAGACAACTCATATCGAGTTATACTTATTATAAAACCCAGGTTGTTTGTGTGTGTTTGTTTATATATGGCATCGGATTTCCTACATCTTTCAACCGATTTCAACAAAACTACACTTTTTTTTTTTTTGGCAGGTAGTGTTTCTTATTGTCTTGCACACTTTTTTCTTTATTTTTACATTCAGAATGCTTTAAAAATTCCATTTACAAGACAATTTTTTATAATAAAATTCTATTCAATCGATAGACTCATAATGATTGAAAACAATGTTTGAGTTTGGGTTTGACTAATTCATAAAAAAAGCCCCCCAAAAAACAAAAAAAAACTAATTAAGACATGCGTGTCCGTCAACCTTAAACAATAATCTTTGTCAATTTTATTTTTCAGTCTTTATGATGGTCGATACTTGATCTATCTCTTACTGTTACATCCCCGGGCAACGCCGGGCTCTACTGCTAGTGTTTTAATAAAATTGCTTTCCTAAGACGATTACAGTGTCACACTACAATTTGATGTTTTATAATGTACTATCAAAATTTGTTTACTTAAAGCAGATTGTATTGTCTTTTTTTCTTCTTTGTTCTGTGAAATTCTTCTCAGGAACCTGGTAGTCGCATCAGTCACTTAATGAAAGAGATCTTCAGTAGTCGCTATCCAAGCTCGGTGATTGACTTGAGTATGCAGAAAGTAATGCAGTCTCCACACCATGCCAATCACCATTCTTACAGATATGAGATTCTGAAGAATGAGCTTATTTGTCTTCATTATGATCATCCCTACGACACTTCCAGCGGGTGAGCACAATTCTTAACTTCCTGATTTGCTCTTCTTATTCTTTCTAATTTGACTGACTTCATGATTTATCTTTGTTTTCTTTTTTTTATTTTCCGATTTGGATTGAACCAAACATATTTAGATAGCCTGTTACATTTGAGAGCAAGACCAAGTCTATCTTTTTATGCCTGTCAATTTAGTAGGATCATTGGCAACAATCAGATATACAATTTCAGTTATTTCTGAGCTAAATGTGTAGGAGTTTAGTATATGTTTTATACCCTAACTATGAACACTAATGGGTTTGTCCCAATCCTCATAAATACATTGGATACTATTGTAATGGGGGTAATATGTTGTCTGGCAGTGGTTTACCTACTTCACACTGCTGGCGAGTATTGTGTTTTATTGATGTTATAAAGATTACCATTTCATTTCCAATCTCCATTTTGGTTATTCCTCGTTCAGTAACCCTCCCTAGGTTATAACAGCATATGAAAAAAAAAAAAAAATTCTCCACAAGGAAAGATTTTAGCTAGATGTGTGTGCGTGTATATATGGTGGACTCTCCCATTGTATTTGACATATGAGGGTCAAGTAGTTCAGTTCCTAGGAACTGACATTAGACACCAGCACATATTATTTGATTATAGTGGTGAAGGCTTTGTGCAGAACCAACCACACTTTTTGGAGGGCCGAATACAGAGACCTGGTGCACTACATTTCACAAGGTCCCCAAAAAACCCTCAGCAGGTTTTGAATTCAAGGTTTTCCTTCTCCTGGACCAGTTGCCATCCAAAGCTATAGAACCCAGTCTGTCCTGTTGTTTACCTATAGCTGGAGGGAGAAGAAGAGGATTCATACCTTTCCCAAGGTTATTAGCACATAAGTGAATGTAATGGATTTGACTGGAATTTGAACTCTGCTCTCGGATTCCTCAATACAAGCTGCTATCCACTACTCCATTATGCCTTTTTTCCGTGTGTGTACATATATATATATATATATATATATATATATATATATATATATATATATATATATATATATATATATATATATATATATATATATATATATATACACACACACATATATTATACACACACACACAAAGAAATAGCACTTAAATTAATTTTTAACTCAATGCAAAAATGAAAATGAGAAAATTCAGTTAATTGCTGAAGCTTCCCTGATGTGGGTGTTTGAATGATATATTTTATATATCAAGAACAATATTGTGGAAAATTGGATGACAAAAAGAAAGAATTAAAAATTCCTAGCATCCCTCTTTTATGCACATGTGTAATTGCAACAAAATAATGATTTTAGTCCTATGAAATCCTAAAGGACAAAATGCATCACATGAAAACTTTTTACACTTTGTCATACATTTTCCCCATATATATATATATATATATATATATATATATATATTAAAAATTTATAACATAAGCATATTATGACATCACTACAAAACTTCTGGTGTCTTGTCAAGTGATGGTGTACACCATTACTTGGTCACATGACAAGACACCAGAAGTGTTAAAACAAAATGATTAGTTTTAACATGTTTGTATTAAAGTTATTGGATTTATTATAAAATACTGCAGATTATTAGTTGAAGGCCTCTGAAATCTAATAAAAACTATTTTTTCTTTTTTACCATAATATATTTTGAAACATGGGCAAAGGAAAGGATCTAAGAAATGCTGAAAAACAGAAAATAATAAAGTTATTGAGTGAGGGAAAGTCCACTTGGCGATATCAAAGAATCTTTGCAGAGATCATCAAATGATCGAGAGGGCTGTTGAAAGAAGCAAAAGAAAAGGCTTCTCCTCAAGGGGGACATAAACTAAAGAATTATAGTGAAAAATAACTACTTTTAACCAGTGAACAGACCAGAATTGAGGGAGTCAAAAGGTGAAAGACAAAAGGTGTAGAATAATTTGGGAATTGGGATCTGTCAAGAAATCTCCTAGACTTCTCTCAGCAAAGTAAATATTTTAAATTGTCAAGATTGGGCCAAGAAATATACTTTTCAAGAGTAATTTTCATGGACAAATCTATGGTGACACTTGATGGATGAGGCAAAGGATGGATTTTATCC